TGGAGTAATGACTGCTGAAAATTCAGCTTTGCCATCAGAGGAATATATAAATATAAAACAGTTATTTTAAATTTTAATAATATGTGTTTACTGTAATAATATTCTAATTATATTTGACTGTTTACTGTATTTTTGGTCAAATAAATATAGCCATATTCTGTTAGCTCTAAATTGGGAGTTTCTTCTCAAAACCTAATCATACATGCATCATCTTTTTGAATGATTCTATTACTCAAAGTATGTATTGTGACCTTTTTGTATTACTTATGTTTTCTGTAATGTTATTTGTTTTCATTATTATTCTGGTCTTTTTGTAGCAAATTGAAATCTGGAAGGAATCTGAAGATGGGGTACTCGACATATCCATCAAACTATATGTAAAGAAAGACACTCATATGGTGAGTTGGTTCGTTTGCCAAATTTATTTAGAGAGGCTAGTCTTCTGTGCTGCTGTTTTAACCATCAGGCGACTTTAGTTTTATGGTAGACAGTTTGTGGAATTGTTTTTAAGACAAAAGAGTGCTTTCTCACTACCTGAAGAAACAGTAACATTATTATGCTTCACTATAAATTGAAACCTTTGTTCTTTCTTGCAGAAAATGGTTATTGGTCCTGGAGGTCATTTGATAACCAGAATAACCCAGGAAGCTGAAAGTGACCTAATGAAGATTTTCTTGCGTGAAGTGCGTTTAAAAATCTCTGCAAAGTTGAAGAAGTGAGGTAGACTGTTTGAATGATGAAGGTCAGAGCCTGACACATGCAGAGGCAAGTAAGAGTGAAGAAATGGACATGAAGTCAAAATTGGCTGTATTTTGGGTTATACTGTCAGGTTGATCTCAACAGACCTCCCTCATTCCTGTAAAATGAAATGTAAGTATTTCAGGCACATACATGGGTTTATCATTTTCTCATTGAAATGATAATGTCATTTATCATTTCAATGAGACTATGATCGGTTGTATCACATATGCCTGTGCTGCTTACATATCTTGCTGCTTTTGATTCATAAAAATGTCTATATAATGATAAATGCCAAAAATCACATAGTTCTGCATTCATACATAGGTATACTTGTTTGCTCAGAGGGTAAGGTTCACTTTCACTCTTTTACTGGAAGGAAGGGTTTACCTTGTTTTTTATTATTCGTTGTCTTCAGTGTGGTCAGGCTGTTATCTGTGGTGCAGTCTTGCTGTTTAACTGAATATCTTGCGTAATAACATTACACTGACCTGAAATCACTCAACTGTAAGCAGAGTGGGCTGC